TTCCCCTTTCCCCTTCCCCTTTCCATTTTTCCCTTTCCCCATTCTGAAAGCTGGTGTGGATGGATAGTCAGATTCTTTGGCTATGATTATTTGCCTTGTCAATGTTTTTTCTTTTGGATGGAGATGACACTTTCACATGGCAAAAATCTCAGTGCTTGAGAGTTTTTGTGCAAAGCAGCATGACATGTGTTCCTCTGCTTTCTGTTCCCAGGTGGCTCACACAATTCTCAAGGCTCATGCCAAGGTCTGGCACCTGTATAATGACAAATATCGTTCTCAGCAACTGGGGAAGGTGGGGCTGGTGCTGAACTCAGACTGGGCTGAACCCAAGACTCCAACCAGCTCTGAGGATGTGAGGGCATCTGAGAGGTACCTGCAGTTCATGCTTGGCTGGTTTGCTCACCCCATATTCGTTAATGGTGATTACCCAGACATCCTGAAGGCTCAGATCCAGGAAGTGAACCTGCAGTGCTCCACCAGAGTTGCAGAGCTGCCTCAGTTTACAGAGGAGGAGAAATCCTGGGTGAGAGGGACTGCAGATTTTTTTGGTCTTTCCCATTACACCTCCCGCCTGGTCAGTGCTGTGACGAATGGGACCTGCACACCAGGCTATGAGAGCATCGGCAACTTCTCCCTGCATGTGGACCCTTCCTGGCCACAGGCTGCCTCTTCTTGGATCCACGTGGTTCCTTGGGGACTAAGAAGGCTGCTGAAGTTTGTATCCCAGGAATACACAGGGACAAAGATCCCAATATACGTGGCAGGGAATGGAGTGCCCACGGAGGACGTGGGGGACGCTGTTAATGACACTCTGCGCGTGGAGTATTTCCGCCGGTACATCAATGAGGCTTTAAAAGGTATAGAGAAATCAAATTGTTCTTTCTTTTTTTGTTTAATAATGGCAACTAGTTATTCCAACCCTGCCATGGTGGGTGACTTTAAAACATCACCACTTGCATAGGAACATGAGGACAGCTGTCAGTTGTGCAGGTAGTGAGTGTGACTTCATCTACTTCAGCCTCTCTGGTGTCCAGATATAGAGCTCTCCCTTCTGTGGGAATAGTTTTATCATGTGTAGAGATTAATGTAGCCTGGACCCTAAGGCCAGTCCCTCTGTGAGAGCAGTGCTTATACACTCCATCTCCCCTGGAGATGATTTGCCTGCAGAGGTCTCACAGATCAGGGCTGAACTGTCTTTGCTGATTAATCAGATCTAACTGGGAGCATCCTGTATCATCATTTCAGGTTAGAAATTTTAGGGAGGTGTTTATATCTCCATCATTTTGAGCAAGATTCAAATTATGTTTGTATCTTTGCAAGCTGTGTATCAATGTGTATAAAAAGAGTATTAGTGGCAAGTTCTGGACAAGTACAGAGATCGGAATTTTCAAATAGAGATTTGACTGTTGCTCTTGAGATAAAACAATACTGGCAGGAAAACATTATTAAATATGCTGTATTAAATATATTGGTGATCAATGTAGAGCATTTGATCTTCTTGACCTAGTTAGTTCTCAGCATACTGCTAGAAGTGTTAAAAGAGCTACAGAAAATCCAATTTAGCATTGCTGTTATGCCTTTGCAGAAGCCAAGAAGCAGCACTGTATTTGGGGAGTGAACTTTACTGCAGTGAGAGAATTGTAGTGTGCTCTTTTGTAGGCAGAGAGGAAGGATGCTGGACTTGCCTCTGCTGGTATTGGATGCACTGTTCTGTTAAAGGAAACTCTCCTGTGCTCAGGGAAGATAGACAAGCACTAAATACATGCAGTGTTTCAGTTTAACTACAGAGTTAAATCTAACATTGCACCATATACCTAAACTGATGACATCAGCTTGAAAACAAGAACACAGGGATAGAGAGAGCCGTGGCACAAGTGTCCTGTACTTGAGTATCTCTTGACTAATACTTCCTTTCTCACACATGATTACCACTAAGTATTTAACCAGCTCCTGTTAGAGTGCTGGCTGCTTTTCATATTCCTCTTGGCTGTTTGAGAGCCTAAAAATCCATCTGTAGATGTTTGGCTTCTCACACTTACCCTCAGTTGTGGTGTTTATGTCATGCTGTACTATGCTCAGGAGATGTTCAAATGCAAATGTTGTGTTGTTTCTGTGACAGCTGTGAAACTGGACGCGGTTGATGTTCGCTCGTACATCGCTCGATCCCTCGTTGATGGCTTTGAAGGCCCAGTGGGCTACAGCCTAAAGTTTGGGCTGCATCATGTGAGCTTTGAAGACAGCAACAGACCAAGGACCCCCAAGGCATCTGCTTATTTCTATTCCAGTGTTATTGAAAAAAATGGTTTTCCACCCAAAGCCTTGAACAGACTTTCTACACCGGTGGTGTTTGACCGACCTATGCCATCAAAGTTGCCCAATTTACCAGCATCAGAAGTTCCCTCCAAAGCAAAGGTTGTCTGGCAGAAGTTTTCATCTCAGTCTGACTTTGAAAGAGACATGTACTTTTATGGGACATTTCCAGAGGACTTTACATGGGGTGTGTCATCTTCTGCCTACCAGGTAGAGGGAGGTTGGGATGCTGATGGGAAAGGACCCAGCATTTGGGACGTCTTCACTCATGTCCCAGGGAATATAAAGAATAATGATAATGGAGATGTAGCTTGTGATAGCTACAACAAGGTGGAGGAAGATATTTACCTGCTGAGAGCCTTAGGGGTAAAGAACTATCGTTTCTCTCTGTCCTGGCCTCGAATTTTCCCCACTGGAAGGAACAACTCAATCAACAGCCATGGAGTTGACTACTATAACCGTCTCATTGATGGACTGGTGGCAAACAACATCACTCCAATCGTCACTCTCCACCACTGGGACCTGCCACAAGCTCTCCAGGACATTGGTGGCTGGGAGAGCAACGCACTGATTGACCTGTTTGACAGTTTTGCAGACTTCTGTTTCCAGACCTTTGGGGACAGGGTGAAGTTCTGGATTACATTCAACGAACCCCAAGTCATTGCCTGGGTGGGCTACGGCCTTGGGATTTTCCCACCCAATGTCAAAGACCCTGGCAGTGCCCCCTACAAGGTTGCCCACATCTTGCTGAAAGCTCATGCCAAGGTCTACCACACCTATGACGACAAGTACAGAGCGAGTCAGGGAGGGATCATTGCCCTGTGCCCCAACATTGACTGGGCTGAGCCAAAGACCCCAAGTGACGCCAGGGACATCGAAGCTGCAGACAGGTACCTGCAGTTCGTGGTGGGGTGGTTTGCACACCCCATTTTCAAAAATGGGGACTACCCCGAGGTGATGAAGTGGAAGGTCGGGAACAGGAGTGAGCTCCAGGACCTGCCGTCGTCTCGCCTGCCGGTGTTCACCGCGGAGGAGCGGGAGTACATCAGGGGCACAGCAGATGTCTTCTGCTTCAACACCTACAGCTCCAAAATCGTAACCCACTCAACGACCCGGCTCAAGCCCTTCTCTTATGAGTATGACCAGGAGGTTTTGACAAAGGTTGACAGCTCCTGGCCTTCCTCAGCTGTTAGTGACCATCGGGCTGTGGCCTGGGGGCTGAGGAGGCTACTGAACTGGATCAAAGAGGAATATGGAAATCCCCCAATATACATCATTGAGAATGGAGTAGGGATAAAGACCAAATCGGATGTTGATGACAACGCCAGGATATTCTACTACAAAACATACATTGATGAAGCTTTAAAAGGTACCTGTGGTTGCTTTTGTTTGTTGGTGTTGTGTGTCTCATCTAGATTTCTGGTTATTTTACTCCTCTGAAGAGGAGTTAAAGGTGACTGAATCAGTCTTTGAATATTCTGAACACAATATAAACATAGTGTTTGTTTTTATAGTCTTCTTTGCATGGCCATTTGTACTTTGTATCCTCCAACCATGAAGAGTCCCTTGATGAGCTAAAAGCATGTATGAGTTTGCCTGTGAATTCCTTACGGTTCATTTCATGTGTGTTTTGTTGTTGTCTCCCATTTGTTTCTGGTCTTTCAGCTTACAAGTTAGATGGTGTTAATCTGAAAGGATACAACGCTTGGTCTTTGATGGATGACTTTGAATGGTTGGAGGGTTATGACCCAAGATTTGGATTGCACCAGGTTGATTTTGACAATCCCAACAGGCCAAGAACCCCAAAGCGCTCTGCCGTGTACTACGCAGAAATCATCCGCAGTAACGGGATCCCACTGCCCAAGGAAGATGAGTTCTTATATGGAGAGTTTCCAGAGAACTTTAGGTGGAGTGTGGCAACTGCAGCATATCAGGTCAGGAAACAAAGTACCCTTGAAGTTCCTGTGGAGAGTTAATTCTTCTTGGATGAGACACCTACAGCTTTTGTAACATTGGGTTTTACCCTAACTAAGGAAAGAAAATGAAGGAGCCTGGAGGTGTTTAGGACGTGGTTGTATCACTGGAGTTGGGCAGCAGCATGGGCTTCACAAGAGTAAGCCAACATGGAGCAGCAGGTGAACTGAAACACTGTCTGCTCTGTGACATTGTACTTCGCTAAGATGTCTTCCCTTGAGGCCCAAGAGATCTTACTAGTTCAGCACAGCAAAAACATTGCTGTTTCTAGTCTCAGGCCGATAAATCAAAATATTGTGTGTTGCCACAAAGACTAATGAGCTGAATTCTTTACTAGGCCACGACCTAAATTTAGGGTTTACTAACAATTCCCTTCCCATCTTCAATTACAGATTGAGGGAGGATGGAGAGCAGATGGGAAAGGACTTAGTATTTGGGACAAATATGCTCACACTCCCTTGAGAATCGGCAACGATGACACTGGAGATGTAGCTTGTGACAGCTACCACAGGATTGAAGAGGATGTGGAGATGCTGAAAAACCTCAAGGTGTCTCACTATCGCTTTTCCATCTCCTGGCCCCGTGTTCTCCCTGATGGGACCACCAGGTACATCAATGAAAAGGGACTGAACTACTACGAAAGGCTTATCGATGCTCTTCTGGCAGCTAACATTGAGCCTCAGGTAACTAAAACCAGTAACTTTCAGGTAACTGAAAAACAGCAAAACCCGAGTCTGATGCTCAGAGCACACATGTGTGTTTCCATCCACACCCTCCTTCACACTGAAATTGTTTTCCATGGTTTTCCCTTGCATTCTGCAAAGAAACATGGGGGTTTGCTTAAGGAAATGAACTGGGAATATAGTGGTGTGTCAGAAACTACTACCCAGAAAGATCACAGTATACTTATCGTTGACTGTTTTCAATTATTTTCTCATCCCTCATGTGCTTGGAAGTGATTCCACAAGGACCTACACAGTGATCTTTCCAGAGACTGAGGTGAAGCTGACCAACCTGTAGTTCCTAGGATCTTCCCTCTTGCCTTCCTTGGAGACAGGTGTAACTTTATTCCTTTCCCAGGAGTCAGGAAGCTCCACTGATCAGCATGGTTTGTCACATACAGTGGGCAGTGACCTCACCACTGCATCAATCAGCTCTTTCAGCACTGTTGAGTGAATCTGACCTGTCCCCATAACCTTGTACCAGCCCAAACAGGTGTTCTATGGGATTGTATTTCACCTTGAGACTCAGTGCAGACAAAGTAGTTCTTCACTGATGAGTTCTTGCTATCACAAGGTGCTTTTCGGTAAAATCTTCATCTTCACCATCAGACTGTCCCTAGAGTTTGAGTCGTTTCCCTATGTCCTAAAGAAGCTGAGACATTGGCAAAAAGGTGTTTTATTTGAGTGCATGAGTGATCACTACAAACCCAAGCACTGTTAGGAACAGGTGGCTGTAGATCAGAGCACAGTCTATGTTCTTAAATGAGTCTAAGTTACTGTCCTTATTTTCAAAAGTAAGAGTGAAGGTTGAGTCCTTTCTCTTGGTATCTTTCCCCACAGGTCACTCTCTATCACTGGGACCTCCCACAGGCACTGCAGGATGTTGGTGGGTGGGAGAATGATACTATAGTTCAGAGGTTTAAGGAATACGCTGAGCTCATTTTCCAGAGACTGGGAGATAAAGTGAAATTTTGGATAACCCTCAATGAGCCCTACAACACTGCATATCTTGGTTATGGTGTTGGCACAGCTGCTCCAGGTAGGACTGTTGGGCATAACTTCAGAGCTTTCACAGCACTGTAGGCACAACTAGTTTCTGCTGCAGCAGAGTAGATGCTTGGGGCTTGCAAAGGTAGAGCAAGGAAGATGGTGTGGTAGGGATAAATGGGCTGTGGTGAACAGGTCCTTTCACTCTGCCTGCCACCTCCAAGCCCCATCCTTCTCCTTCCACTCCTCTAATCCACCCCTCCTCTGCAGTATCCATATTACACTTGCTGCCTGGAGCAGACCCCATTTCCAAACCAGCTCCAAGGACTGTAGAGAGGTTTTAGGGCTGGAGGAGGACCCAGCTCGCAGACCCCGTTTCCAAACCAGCTCCAAGGACTGTGGAGAAGTTTTAGGGCTGGAGGAGGACCCAGCTCAGCTGGAGGGTAGAAGAAAAGGAAAGATGGGGATAGGAGCTGGTTTGAACACAGCTTTTTGCTGTCCATGCTGGTGGCAGCAGCCTGTTGCTGGGGCTGGCAGCTGGCAGAGAGCTGAAGAACCCAAGGGGGCACTGCAGGTTTCCAAACCAGCTCCAAGGACTGTGGAGAAGTTTTAGGGCTGGAGGAGGACCCAGCTCAGCTGGAGGGTAGAAGAAAAGGAAAGATGGGGATAGGAGCTGGTTTGAACACAGCTTTTTGCTGTCCATGCTGGTGGCAGCAGCCTGTTGCTGGGGCTGGCAGCTGGCAGAGAGCTGAAGAACCCAAGGGGGCACTGCAGGGTCCTGCACAGTCTGCCCACAGCAGCTGCCTCTGCCAAGGCACCAATTTCAGCCCAGGCCGGGCCACAGGGCACCAGTGCTGCAAGGGGCAGTTCTGGGTGTCCTGGGGGTCGTGCTAACCTGGGAAGCAGCCATGAGAAAGCTGGGATGTGCTGCTCCAGGGTTTGTGCTGTCACTGTCCCTGCAGGTGTCTCCACCCGGCCGGGCCGAGCTCCCTACGTGGTGGGACACAACTTAATCAAGGCCCACGCAGAGGTTTGGCACCTCTACAATGAGACCTACCGGGCAAAACAAGGAGGGTTGATCTCCATCACCATCAACTCTGACTGGGCAGAACCACGGAACCCACACAGCCAGGAGGACATCGACGCTGCCAGGAGATTCCTGCAGGTACAGAGACCCCTGGACACAGCTCTCCCTGCTGCCCCTGGGGTTGTTGTTCATGGTGACACCTCCTCTCTGGGTGCTGGAGGTGCCCAGAACCCAGATCAGTATCTCACTGAAAGAAAAAAAGGATGAGGCAGAGGCATCACTGCAAGGAAATGTATCAGTCTCTTATGGAGGCTGATCTAGTATGCAACAGCAACGAGACAGAACATGGTTGCAGTGACAAAAGTTCATTCCATTACTGCCCAGATGGACACCCCTAGGTGTCTCCCTGTGCCTGTTTGCTATAAATTCAGGTACTCCCTATAAAGCAGCACATGATGGAGAAATGGTTAAATCCCTTGTTTCGATACATGGTTTATCCTCCCTTATTTCCTGGTTCAGTTTTTCCTAGGTTGGTTTGCTCATCCCATTTTCAAGAATGGTGATTATAACGAAGTGATGAAGAGGAGGATTCGGGAACGGAGCCTGGCTCAGGGGCTGAGCCAGTCCCGGTAAGGGCACAGGCACAGACCTGCTTTTGTTTCACTTGCTGTGCTGAGACCTGCTCTTCTGATAGAATTGCTACACCTCAATGATTCTATTGCAATGCTACTGTAAAAAAAGCTTCCTGTATCCTCACAGACAAATTCTAGTGTGCATTGTCATAGAATCGCAGGATGGTTTGGGTTGGAAGGGACCTTAGGGATCACCCAGTTCCAACCCCCTGCCCATGGTTGTGTCTGTTCCCTGCCTTCACTTCTCTTGCAAACTAAATTTACTAATCTATCTTGGGGGGAATAATTTGGCAGCTCAGTGATTCAGTCAATGCCCTGCATTAGTCACAGTGCTTTACCTGTTGACTCTGGTGAACTTGTTTTAACTTTTCTTAAAACCGTGAACTGAACTTGAGCACTGAGAACTCATTGGTCCCTCTGAGTATGTTTCTTTCTTTCCATTCCCAATTTCCAGTTTCTCCTGGGTTTTCCCATGTTCCTCCTGAAGGATCTTGGCACTCCCTCTTGTGCCTGTGGTGGTGGTTCCAGGGACACCACCAGCATTACACATGGAGTGTGCTTGAGGTGCATTCTCTGTTTTCTCTCACAGGCTTCCAGAATTTACTGAGAGTGAAAAACAAAGAATTAAAGGCACTTATGACTACTTTGGACTAAATCATTACACCACAGTTTTAGCATACAACTTCAACTTTCCCAAGGGCGTTCAGTCATATGACTCTGATAGGTAAGAGATGGATATAAATTATTGCTCAAGTAAGATATGCACACCTAGAGCTTGAGCCAACTGACAAGTGTGAATTGCTAGCAAATAAAGCTGTGAGATGGGTATATCTAGCTGTTATACATAGGTATATCTAGCTGTTATAACCAATACTAGGGAAAAATCCCCAAAACAGTACCTGTGGTGCTGTTACTTTCACAAAAGCCCAGAAATAGCCCTTTTTTTTTTTTTTTTTTACCAGACCTGATGATAAACATGCATCTTTACAACCTCACAAAGAAAATTTGAGGGTTTGCTAAAGGAAAGAATCTGCACTTGTGAGTCTCCCAATGCTTTGGGAACACTGTAACCAGTGTTTATCCTGTTTCCTGCCTCCAGCCTGCAGTCTGAACGTTTGGGAACACTGTAACCAGTGTTTATGCTCTTTCCTGCCTCCAGCCTGCAGTCTGAACTGTGAGGTGATCCTGGTTTATGGATACTGCTCCATTTGCTCCTCACCATCTTGGATATATATAAGTTCAAAGCCTAATTAGCTAAATCACTTCATAGTTAAGTATGTGTAAGTCAAGATTTTTTTATTTAGATACTAACTTCATTCCTGAGCTTCAAAAGGTAAACAATGGGAGCTTACTAGCTTTTCTGATGAGAATTTAGGCAGTGGTGGGAACACCTCTGGGTGTGAAACTGGCTTTCTGAAATGTTTCCATAGGGAATATATGAAACTGTTATAACTTCCATCTGCTGCTGCATCCCAACCTTTATGGCAGGACACTGGGCTCAGTCTTGCATTCCTGTATGTGGGTGTAAAGGGTAATTTTGTGTGCTCAAGCACTGCATGTACATTGAAAAGTGTCATAGTATGCCAAGATTTGGAGTCAACATTGCATCTTCAGCCACAGTCGATTTAGGCAGAACATGACTGTGAAGCAAAGCATGAGAAGTGTTTTCTAGAGACTTGTGAGCACCAGCAGCACCTCAGCCTGTGGTGCTGTCCCCAGTTTGCACAGCTCAGCACCACAGCACTGAGGTGCACAGGCACAGCAGCCACGTGGGACTGGTCCTTACCAGTGTCCTCCTGGGCAGGGGTGTCGCGTCGGTGACCGACCGCAGCTGGCTGGACTCTGGGTCTGCATGGCTGAAGGTGACACCCTTTGGATTCCGAAAGATCCTGAGGTGGATAAAGGAAGAGTACAACAACCCTCCCATTTATGTGACTGAAAATGGCATCTCAGAAAGGGGAGACTTTAACTTCAACGACACTCGGCGAATGCATTACTATCGCACCTACGTCAACGAGGCCCTGAAGGGTAAGAGTGATTATTGATATCATCCACAGCTCCAGAGCAGCAGTGGCTTCCCACAGGGCTGATGGGTACAAAACAAGGTGAGCTGACAGACCACTGCCATCACATTTTCAAGTAACAGTCACATGGGTTTACTGAATCCACTTCCAAGAGCCTTTGGGTTTACCAGAAAGTGCCCATGGATAGCCACAACTGTTCAGGGAAGGTTGATCTGAAGGAAGAACAATCTCTGGGTTTAGCAGAGTAACTGCAGGTTCCTTGATTAGCTACAAGAGAAGTTACTGCTACTTGAGCACCTATTTTGGCTTCTAGTTTGACTACTGCTGTGTCCAAAAACTGCATCTTTGAAAAAAAAACCCACCCCCCAAACTGTTTGAATTAGAGCAGTGGTCAAATGACTTCAGGGAAGAGCTTTTTCAGTTTGCTTTTCTGACATGCAGGTGTTCAGGAAGTGCTCGTGTACTGCCTTGCAGCAGTGAGGCCCCACAGGCACTTGGTTGCCTTTTGATAGCTTTTCTTCTTGTTTCTAAACTTTTGTTTCTAGCACGAAAGCTTTGATTTTTGGAACAGAGAAAGCAGCCTCCAGCACTGGGTGCTGAATGAGCTGCCCTGGTTGATCCTTGGCTGTAACTTGGCAGCAGAACTACCTCAAAGCAACTAAGATAGGACAACATCAAAGAGAGGTGGGAATGGGGAGATCAAAACCAGTGAGGCCAAAGGGGCAATAACCTGACTGCACTTGACACCCTGGTGGTTCTGGAGCACCTTCATGTCACAGCTGGCTGAGGGATGATCTCTCTCCTCCTCTCACCCAACTGCACAACTCCCCTGTTCTCTCTGTCCTGCCAACAGCTGTTGTGCTCGACGGCGTCGACTTACGAGGCTACACCGCGTGGACACTGATGGACAACTTGGAGTGGGCAGCAGGCTTAGCTGAGAAGTTTGGGTTCTACCACGTGAATTTCACAGCCCCCGACCTGCCACGGCGCCCCAAGGCCTCTGCCAGGTACTACTCACAGATCATAACCTGCAACGGGTTCCCAGACCCAGCAACGGGCCCACACCCCTGTCTGGAACCGGAGCCGGAAGGTAAGCGATGCAGCAGAAGGCACACGTGTGTGCTTGCACCCAATTCTAATCCCAAAAGATTTCCACAACCTTAAAGTCTATGGAGACACCACCATTTTCTGTAGTAGTCTTTTAGTACTGCATCAGTCTTTGCTATGACTGAAGACAGGTGGAATAACATCCCTTCTGTTTGCAGAATGAGAGCAATGACTCGATCTTGTGCAAGAGCAAAATGTTGCAAAATAATTATTCCACTCCTTTTCTCTCTGAATAACAGAAGTGCCCAAGATGTTTTCCAAACCACACACATTCAGTACTCCCACAACGTTTTTCCTAAACAGTTTGGAATACTTTGTTCAAGTCAGTGTTTTAGGTAGGCTGATGCTTTGTGTAAGGAGAGACAGGACATGGCACTCAGCACCATGGTCTAGCTGACATGGTGGTGTTAGGTCAGAGGATGGACTTGATCTCAGGTCTTTTCCAACCTGATTGAGCCTGTGATTTCTAATTTGTTTTCTGAGCTAGAGGAGCAGCCTCTGTTCGTGTGGGGGTTTGGGGATGACCACAGCTGCCTGAGAGTACTCACCTGTACTATCAGCCTCAGTTGTGCCTTTACTCTGAGCTAAAATTTCGTCAATTGCTGACTGATCTCACAGAATTCTGGCTCCTGCCAGGGCTCCAAAGAGCAGTGGGAAGCCCTGTGGAGGCAGAAGCAGCAGTGCACTCACCTGCAGGCCCAGCTCAGCCCAGGCTCTGTTCTAACCCTCTCCTCTTGCTTTCCCACGGGCAGTGACTCCGACGGACACCGCACCGGGAGCAGCTGACAGTGTGCACTTCCTGGGACTGGATTTGACATCCCAGAGTGCAGAAACAGCACTTTATGTACTTTTTGCCCTCTCAGGAGTTGGAGCATTGGCCTTGGCTCTTTTTGCATACAAATATGGAAAATTATCCAAAAGATCCCATAAACAAGCAAACATGGAACTTACTAGTAAACTGTAACATTTACACTTCCTAAAATGCTTGTTTGGTTTGTCTTTCCTTTACAAAAAAAGTCTGTGCCACCAGGAAAAGAGACTTAGTGCTTGTACTGCTGCAGCTTTGTCTTGCCTTAGGGAGGGCTCCTTGGCATGGTGGTGTTTGCTTAACAGCTTTAGAAGAGGGAGGAAAATTACCTCTGTATGTTAACTGTCTCTTTTCTCCCTGGGAAGTACCGATTTGATTTCCTAAAGACCAAAGTAAAATTGCCTGTTCCTATCTGCTTAAGGATTCTGAACCTCAGCTGTTACCTGCTCTTGCTCCATCTCCCCTCAGCTGATGCAGATCTCTGAGCAGCCCCTGGAAGCTCTCCATGTTTTTAAGTTGATGTCTATACTGGTGAAAACTGGTCTAGGAGTATTTACTGTTCTAGTGCAGCTACTGTACAGATTGGGTTTTCACCTCCTTTATTTCATGTACTGTTAGGTCACTTAAACTGTAACAAGAGGTTTGTCTGCTGTACTTTAAGTCTCAGTGCATGACCCTAACTGCTCCTTGTGACACAAGTAATTCAGAGGAACTTCACAAGACAGTTATGTTTTCTGGAAAATAGTTTATTGAGTGCTTAGGGAATTAAAAACTACAAGGTTTTGCTTGCAGTTGCAGAAGCAAGAAAAAAGTTAAACATAAATTAATTAACTGATTTGCTACTGATAGTGCTCCTGAAACCCTCACTGTAATCAGCCTACTGTGACCTTTATATTAACACATCTGGCCCTTCAATTTATGTAGCAGAATATTTATAGATTAAAAAGTGCCTTTCTATGGCAGAGGGTAATAATTATGAAAGCTGATGGAGATTTTCAGTCTTTTTACCTTCTTGCTTCTAGGCCTCACCTACACCCACTTCATTTTTCTGACTGAGGTGACTTTATTCCACACTCCACTGTAGGAATAAGAATTAAGTAATCCAGTCAATGTGAAATAAACCCCACTGGCCCAGAAGCTTTAATTGACTTAGATCATACAAGAGAGAAGAAAAAACAAGCAGCCAGATAGTAACTGCAGTTACTCAGAACTACATTTGTTGTGTAGAGTTTCCATTCCAAGTATTGTTTTCATCTTCTCCATCGTCTTGAGTCCTCAGTCTATATATTTTGCCTTCTTTTTTGAAGTCTTCCCCCCTCTTTTCCACTACTCGTTTCCTGACTGCTTGCCTAGGGCACAAATGACAGTGAGGTTTGAGTTCCTCCGGGAATAATTACACAAGAAAAGCAGCAAATGCAACAAACACACATCATATATCCTTCCTCCTCTTATCCCCAGCAAGATTTCTTCATCCCTTAGTTTCCTTGGGAAACACCACCCAGCAAAGTTGCCTCACTCAGCAGTCAGCCCAAGAATGTCATTTCCCTGTCACTGAAGCAGTGTTTGGCTTACCTGCTCTGCTCGATGCTGCTCGATGCTGCAGGGGTTGAGTGGTCTTGCTGGTGAGCTGATCTCACCGAGGACTGGGATGGGGGTGGACTCGTAAACAGGAAGTTGCTAATGAATCTCCAAACCGCTAAGAGGGGATAAAGGATTGTGCCCAAGAACTTCCACAGGTCACTGCCTGAGGCCTGAACGACAGAAGTAGCAGGTCTTCCAGCCTGGCCATGAACACATAAAGCAAACTTGTCAGAGGTGAAAGTCATGGAGAGAGTGTATTTCACACCTAATTCAGAAGCAGCTCAACAGGCACTAGAGAACTCCTTTGCTTACACATTACACAAACATCTATGCCACCAACTTATCTGCTTCAGGAAAACTTCTCCAAATCAGTCCTGACCAAAATTACAGTAACTTTGCAATCTGTCCTAGACACAGAAAAGCCCAAACCTCAAGCCAAATATTATCATGGCTGACTAACAGCAATATCAGCTCCAGTACTGCTGTTCACAGGACAACAACAAATCAAACCAACCAGAACCCAACACCTACCGGCAGCAACACCACTGAAGCACTGGGTGCTAACTCTAATTCCAGTAACTTCTTCCCATAATCTTCTTTGGTAAATTCCCTCCTGGGAAACATCGTCGCCAGGGAAAAATTGCCATAAGTGTTACCAACTGTCTGTGAAGAAAGTAAAGAAAACCTTTTATTTACATTGTCATAGTATCATAGTATGTTAAGGGGTTGGAATAGAGCTTAGAGATCCAGTCCCAACCCCCTGCCCTGGGCAGGGACACCTCCCACCAGAGCAGGTTGCTCAAGGGTTTATCCAACCTGGCTTTGAACACTGCCAGGGTTGGGGCAGCCACAGCCTCCCTGGGCAACCTGTGCCAGTGTCTCACCACCCTCACAGCAAAAAACTTCTTCCTAGTATTCTATTTATTATAACTTCCCTTTCAAACAACTGCAGATTTGCCAGCTGAGTTTACCTTTGCTAGGAGTTCTTATCAAACTATCAATCATCCTCATACAGAGAAATTAAGGATTTTCCCCACCCTACTCTCTCCTACTAATGATAGGCTGCAGTAATACAGAGGCAGTTGGTGGCACTGCAGAAGGTTCCCAAAACCCCCTTCCAATACATAAAAAGGAAAGGAGCTGAGAAAACAAAGCAGCAATTTACCTGTGCAGCAAACTGCCTTGCTTCTTCCAGCCGTGCTTCAGAGGGGAACTGGTTAGTAAAGGAAGATCCATCGGGGAGACGGAACTGGATCCTGGCGATTGCACTGCAGGACAGGTGTGGGGACAGTCAGCACAGGAACACAAACACACTACAGCTCCTGGGGCTTCAGCTTGTAGTATTGAAATGTGGGAGGGAGGGACAGTCATCCTGCTTATGGCAGTGCAGATGGGTTGTAAGATTGGACTCAGAGTGGATAATCACCTGCTTAGCTCACAATGCACCTCTTCCATACCTCCATGTAAGGCCTCTATAGGTTAGAATAATCCAACAGTTGTGTTGGGCAAAGTAGGACAGAGCTCTGACATGCACAGCTGATGGCCCCAGTCAAGCCTGGCTGAATCCAAGCCAAACACACACACACAGCCCAGAGCTGGGTTGGTACCAGCTCCCCCAGCAGTGCTGACATTATCGAGTCATTCTGGCCAGTCCTTATCTGCAACATTCCCTAGCCCCCACCCAGCCCCCTCATACATGGCATTTAACTCACAGATCAGACAGAACAGCTCTTATCAACTAAAATAACACATAAGTTAGTGTTTCATAACCAGGAATGTCAGAAGGATGAGTTATCACAGAACAAAATGTTCGTGTAAATCGCTATGAATAAATGTTATAAATGAAAGACAGTTTTTAATCTCAGCATTCAAACAACCCAACATGGCAACAATTAATAGATTATATATATTAAATCTCTTCCAAGTTTAAGTTTCTATATCTCTCCCCAGAAACACACAC